AGAAATCATTGGGGACCAGTGACATCACAGAGGACCAGTGACATCATTGGGGATGGCGGTGACATCACAGGGAAAGCAGTGACATCAAAGGAACAGCGATGAGTTCACAGGGACAGCAGTGACATCATTGGGGACATTGGTGACATCTCATGGGACAGCAGTGACATCACTGGAGACCAGTGACATTACTGGGGAGTGCAGTGGTATCATTGGGAATATCAGTGAGATCAGAGGGACGATGATGATATCATTGGGGACACTGGGGACACCCCTGGGAACACCAGTGACATCCCAGGGACAGTGGTGACATCACTGGGGATGCTGGGGATGTTTGGGGGTCTTTGGGAGGGCACCTGCCTGGGGGGTTTTCATGCGAGCACGGACGACTCAGCACAGCAATGTGATGATCAGAGAGCGCCGTTGATTGGAATCAAGCAGCAGTCTTTGATCCAGTTTTCTAACAATACTCTTCTATCAGCTCTGTTTCTTTAACATTCTTTATGTCCTTTCCCACTCTGATAGCTGGTACTGAGACCCTGTTTTCTATATCTAGTTTTGCTACTGCTTCTCTTGGTAGATCTTTCACATCCTGGTACCATCAGAAGGCCATCAGAACAACAGATCACGTTTTCACAATTGCAATATAAGATTGTATTCTCACATCTGCAGCATATCCTCCATATTAGCACTAAAAATCCCTACACTTCCTCCTTTTTCTTTAAACAAAGCAGACACAGTTTGAGCCAATATGCTGCGAAAACATTGAACCAGACATGGCAGAAAAATACACACTCCTGGAAGCAGAAAGACAACGGGTGCCAGCCATTGTACAGTTTGCATAAGCTGATTCGGGGGGGGGCTTTGGGAGGGCACCTGCCCTTCAACACCAGGACTGTAGAGAACTGGGAAGCTTTACTGGGAGCACTGGGAGCAGCAGGTGGCTGGTGTGAGAGCAAAAGCAGGGCCAGGGGGACACACGACCCCCCCAAACTCCAGGCAGGGATGGACTGGGGGGTCCCAGCTGGGCCTGAGGCCACGGGGAGGGGCTGCGGCCACCGCCAGCTCAGGAGCTCTGTGGGGAGAGAAAAGGGGTGACAGCAGGCTGGGGGGGCAGGGGGGACACACACGCTCTGGAGAAGGAGGGACATGACCCCCAGGGACCCCCCTTTACCTTCTCCCGCAGGTAGAAGCCGAGCCCCAGCACCAAGAAGACGAAACCCAACACGAAGCCCCCGATCCCCATCAAGATCTGCTGCGGACGGTGTCCTGTGGCATCTCTGGGGGGAGCCGGGGGGGTCAGGACCCCCAAAACCTCCCATAGACCATCCAGGACCTCACAAATCTCATCCTGGTCTCTTCCAAACCATCCAAAACCTCCTGAAACCTCCTGCCAGTCTCTTCTGTATTAGTTCATTTGAATCCATTTGTGCCCATAAGAAAGACAGGTACAACAGTCATTCAAATACTACAAAAAATCTTTTATTGCAGTGAGAGTAAAAAAAAGCCCTAGGAAAGAGAATCAAAAGCTGAAAAAGAAGACAAAATCACTACTTTATTAGTTGGCATTCATACAATACTATAGCCTTTGTTACAGCATTAGCTCGTAAAAAGGAAATTAAAGGAATACAAAAGAAAAGGATATCAAATGTTTCCTTTCCCGGTTGCTTCCTATCAATAAACTGTGCTCACCTGCACAGACAGGCCAGGCCTACCAGGCTCTGCAGGGTTGGTCGGTGCCCGTGCTTGGCGGGTGTCCCCGTGGAGCAGCACAGTGTGGATGGAAGGATGAGCATTGCTCCCCCCAGCAGTGCTGACACCCCATTCCATCAGCTCTACATTACACTACGTAGGGCCAGGACGCAGCAGAAGGTGGTGCTTGAGTGGCAGCCAAACAGGATCCGTTCATCACCTCATGGCAACAGTCTGGGCGTGCCCCACTGTAGGGCAAGGGGCCAACGACCCCTGCCCACATCATCTTCCTCTCCATCACCTTCCTCAGCCCTATGGACGACCTGTACCATTGTGTTTCAAGGGGATTTGTATCTCTCTTGCAGAGTGGAGCCAAGCCAAGGAGGAACTCAGCTCTGATAATGGGGGACATCCAGTTAACTTTGCTAAAGGCACACTAGGCCTTACAGTGAACTTGTGCAATAAAGTTACACTGTACAACATTCTGGCTGTGTTCACATGCAAATATAATCACTTTCTCACCCCTCTGTGCTCCATTGATCATCTAAATCAAAAGTACCCCCCTTACATCATGGTAACCATTATGCATTCTCATTGTTACAAGTGGTTACCATGGCAACCACTATGCATTCAAATTGTTACACCAGTTACCATGGAAACCATTATGCATTCTCATTCTTATGCTGGTTACCCTGGCAACCATTACCCATTATCACAGTGAAGTCGCTTACCATGGTAACAATTACACATTCTAATTGTTACGTCGGTTACCATGAAAACCATTATGCATTCCCATTGTTACCCTGCTTACCATAGCAACTATTATGCATTCTGGTTGTTACGTTGCTTATCATGGCAACTCTTATGTATTCTCATTGTTACGGTCAGTTATCGTGGTAACCATTATGTATTCTCATTAATACTCCAGTTACCATGGCAACCTTTATGCATTCATATTGTCATGTGGGTTACCATGGGAACCATTGTGCATTTACATTGCTAGGCTAGGTTAATACATTTTGCATCGGCAACCATTATGCATTCCTATTGATGCGTAGCTTACCATGGAAACCATCATACTATCCCATTGCTATGGTCAGTTACCACGGCAACCATTATGCATTCCATTTGCTATGGACGGTTACCATGGCAACCATCACACATTCCCATCACTAGGGTCGGTTACCATGGTAACAATGATGCCCTGTTACGGCACTTACCATGGCAACCATCTGTAACACACAGATAATACAGAAATGCCAAAAATTGTTTCTGCCTGTCAAAACCTTCCTATCAAACATTCTCTGTCAGCTCTTTGCCAGAAGTTCCCACCAGGACTTCCCACGGCACTTTTCCTGCCAATAGATCCTGTTATTGTTTATGGTTATCATATCTATTCCAACATCTGAACTGGCTACATGACAAGAAACCACATTCAACCTCCTTTGAACACTAGAAAAGTTGAGGACAAATTTTTGAAAATCAGGGAGATGAAAGGGAGAAGAATTGGTGACTGTAGCCGAGAATCTCTGCCCACCTCCCCTCACCTTTTCTCCACCACCGCGTGCTGCCTGCCTGCCACCGGAGACTGGAACTGTGCCAGCCTGGAGAGAGCTGAGACCACCATGCCACATGGGGGAGTTCTACCTTATCCTTCTACCCTGACCATATTTCTGAGGGCCCAAATCTTTGGAAGAGCTGAGACCCTGCACGGCCTGGGACAGGGGCGTGAGCGGTGAAACCACACATGGTGCATTGCAGAGAACTAAAGCTGTCAGACCCCCTGCAGCTACAGAGACAACATCCAAAAGCTGCAGAGACAGAGAAAAAAAGGGGCAGAAACTGCTACTCACCCACACACACAGACCAGCTCAGGGGAAAGGTAGCATGGTGGTATCTTCTCTCTGCTTTCAGAAGTAATCGTAAGAGTTTTCCAACATTTTCTTATTTTTTCCTCGTTCTTTTTGCACCTCTTAGCAATTAATAAAATCAAGTTTTGGTATCAACAGAAAACTTGTGTGAGTTTTAATTTTGCTCAAGGGAATATTCGAATCTGAAGCTCCATCTGCAATATTAAGGCAGACTATAACGAGGGACCATGGAAAAGTGGGAGGAACAGGGAGAAAGGTGGAAAAGGGGGGGTGGTCTGGTGGATCCGGCGGTCCAATGGGGGTCTTTGGGTACAAGGAAGTTGGAAAGGGGGTGACCCCCCTGAGCTCCCAACTGACTGTGGGGTGCTGGGGCTGCTGGATCCAATCTCAGCCTTGGGTTATGCCAACACTTTCAGGTTAGAGGAAGTACAGAGGGGGGACTGAACGACTTTTGTCCCCCAGGTTTTAAGGATGGCAAATCAGATCTATTGATAGAAATGAATTCTTTAGGGTTACAAATGATCAGACAAAAGATCTTCATCAGAATTATTTACTGCACAATAGAAACACTAAAACTACCAGTAGTACAGCATAAGATAGGACAGTGCTCTACACTAAAGTAATTGTTGAAGCAATTCTACTCCAGCTGGCACCAAAGCAAGAATTATTCCTTAAAGATGGATGGAACTCCCCCAGACCAACGCTCGTGGGGAGATCTCTGCTCTCAACCTCCAGCAGTGACTTTGGGGGTCCCCAGCCAAGGCAGGAATCTCCACACACCCCCAAGAAGGGTTCTGTTGGCACAACCTGCCCCTGGCAAAGGGGACTGGTCCTTTCTGGTGGAAAGGGATGGACTGACAGTCACTGGACTCCAGGGGTTGCCTCACCATCAGGGGGCTCATTCGGGGTGGGAGCAGTGGCCAAAGCTCTTCCAGCAGTCGGGGCACTCGTAGGGCTTCTCTTACTGGTGGGTCCGTTGGTGTCTGGTCAAGTTGGAGCTCTGGCTGAAGCTCTTCCCACACTCCCCACACTTGTAGGGCCTCTCCCCGGTGTGGATGCGCCGGTGTTTGACGAGGGTGGAGTTCTGGTTGAAGCCCTTCCCGCAGTCGGTGCAGCGGAAGGGCCTCTCCCCTGTGTGTGTCTGCTCATGCCTGAGGAGAGTTGAGCTGCGCTGAAACCTCTTCCCACATTCCAAGCATTTGTAGGACCGTTCCTCAGTGTGGCTGATCTGGTGGCTGCAGAGGTTGGAGCTGGTCCTGAAGCTCTTCCCACATTCCCTGCACATGTAGGGCCGTTCCCCAGTGTGATGTGCTGGTGTCGGATCAGATCGGAGCTGTCCTGAAGCTCTTCCCACATTCCCAACACTTGTAGGGCCGTCCCCAGTGTGGATGAGCTGGTGCCTGTGGATCAGGTTGGAGTGTCCCTGAAGCTCTTCCCACATTCCCTGCACGTGTAGGGCCGTGCCCCAGTGTGGATGTGCTGGTGCCTGAGGAGGTGGGAGCTGCCCCTGAAGCTCTTCCCACATTCCAAGCACCTGAAGGGCTTCTCCCTGCTGGGAGGCTGCTCAGGGACCACCAGCTCTGAGCTCCGGCTCAAGCTCCGGCCGCCTTCCCAGCACAGGTCGGGTCTTTCCTCCTCAGAGCTCCCTGGGCTGGCTTTGCAGCCCCTCCTCCGGGGGCATCTCCGGGCCTTTTCCTCCCCGCTGCCTTCCTGCGCCGGGGAGCCCTTCAAAACGGCCTCTCCCACCAGGCTCTGCCGGGGGGATTTGTCCTCCGTGCTCTCCGTCCTCAGCTCGGGGCCTGGGGCAGGAAGGAAGAAGGACAGGCAGGGGATTTGCCTCGGGCCCACAGGGAAGGCCAAGGACATCCCCCCAAATCCTGACCTGGCACCACAAGACAGGGCCAAAGGGGCACTGACTTCCTCCTCACCTGCCTGAGGGGCCCGTGGCCTCTTCCTCTTCCTCGCAGCCTTCTCCTCCATCTGCCCAAGCTTTGGGAAGGACAAATCCTGCTGGGGGGAAACAAGGCCTGAGCGCGTTGCCTTGGGGGTTCCTCCTGCCCAAGTCCATCTCTGGAACTCACCCAGCATCCTGGGAGCATAAAAAACTCCAAAACACCAAAATTTTGCCCAGAAAAACCCAATCCGCTGACATTCAGGAAATAAACTGCCTCAAAAATAGCGAGATTGACACCCCTCCATCACAATGGAAAAATTTAAGGTTCAGCCAAAATATGAAGATTCAGCCCAAAAATACTCTCCCAGGAGTTCCCCTGTCTGGTCTCTCCTCTGGGGTTTGGAGGGTCTCTCTCTCTGGAATGTTGGGGGTCCCTCTTAGGGATGCTGGGAGTGCTGGGGGTCCCAAGGGTCCCTTCTCCTCTGACTCTCCCCTTTGGGGTGCCGCCTTCCCAGACATTCCTCCCTCTCCAGGTTCTCCACCTCGTTGTCCCAGGGATCCCAGGGGTCCCCACTCTCCAGGCTTCCCCTTCTCCGCTCCCCCGTTTCAGGCTCCCGGGGTCCCGGGCTCCTCCCTCTCCGTGCTCCCCTCCAGCCTGCCGGGGTCCCCAGCTCCGGCATCGCCCGCTCCGCCCTCCACCCTCGGCAGCTCCCAGGGGGACCCCAAACCTGCTGTGTCTGCCCAGCCAGCCCCGGGCTGACAGTGGCCCTGACCCTGTCCCTGCTCCTCCCCGCAGGTTCTGTGGCCGGGCACACTTTGTGTTCCTGGGTGCCACCAGCTCAGCAGCTGCAGCCGCTCCAATCAGCGCCCGCAGCTCTGCAGCAAAGCCCCAGCTCACCTGGCACACAGGGCATGGACACAGCACCTTCTCCCTGCTGGGCACTCCCAGATCAGCCTCTTCCCCAGCACAGGGCTCTCCTGCCTCAGCACCACCTCTGCCTTCCACTTCTTCTCAGGGCCACCTCAGGGCCAGCTCTGGGCTCACCTCCGGGCCATTGCTCAGGGCCACCTCAGGGCCTGCTCTCCAGCACAGGAACCTGCAGGGAGGGCAGATGATGTGCAAGCCCAGGGGGGCCTGCTTGCACTGGCCTGGGGGCTTCTTTCTCCTTCCACAACCACCCCACAACTTCTCCTGCTTTTCTAAGCCCACATCTTTGCAGACTGACCTTGTCTCTCTGTGTGCACAGACACATCTATCCCCTGTGGACAGAGCCTCCAGCATGTGCTGCCCTGGCAATGGCACCCAGAGAATCCCAGAATCAGCCGGCTTGGAAAAGACCTCCCAGATCATCAAGGGCACCCCTTGATGCCGTGGTTCCCAGACCGTGGCACGGATGCCCAGGGGAGGGGCTTTGGGGATGAGGGCTCTCCCAGTACAGCCCAGTGCCCCCTCAGTGCCCTCCCAGTACAGCCCAGTGGCCCCAGCACAGCCCACTGTGTTCCTGTCCCAGGGTGCCGGGTGATCCCTCTTTGCCAGGGGTTTGATTGGGATTTGGGGTGTTTTAGAAACCTCTGGGTGCATTTGGGCGAGTTAAAAGGGGTCTTGGGAGCATTCGGGGTTAAAAGGGATCTGTGGGGAGAGGGAATTAAAGAAAAAAGGGTGGTTAGGGGACATTTGGGGGGTCTTATTGGGGCCTGGTGGGAACAGGAGGGGCAGCACCACGAGCAGGTGAGTCCTGAGACCCCCCTGGTGTCCCCAAGACCCTCCTGCTGTCCTCAATTTCCCATTTGACACCCTGAGACCCCCCTGGTGTCTCCAATGTCCCCAGGGCCTCCCCATGGCCCCAATTCCCCCCTTGACACCCTCCATTCCACTGTCCCCAAACCCCTCCCCACTGTCCCCAAACCCCATCCCTGATGTCCCCAACCCTCCATCTCCCCCCAGAAGGACCCCCTGGACCCTCTGACTCACAAAATGGCCCCATCCCCCCAAACTCACAGAAAGGTCAAGGGAATCTGGGGACATGCGGGGACACTTGGGAGGCTTTGGGGAGCACTGGGTGATTACTGGGGGATACTAGGACACACTGGAGGGAACCAGAGGGCACTGGGAGGGACTGGAGGGTTATTGAGGGAGGGAATGGGTGATTACTGGGAGATTACCAGGACACACGGGGAACAGTGGGAGATTATTGGGCCTTACTGGGGGTTACTGGGTGTTCACTGGAGGATCATTGGGCCATACTAGGGGGCAGTGGGAGGTCACTGGGAAACACTGGGTGGTCACTGGGGGAGTTACTGGGCCATACTGAGAGCCACTGGGAGGTCACTGGGCTATACTGGGGGCACTGGGATCCCTTTACCCGCATGTGGTTCATCTCCCTCACAAGACTTTGGGTGGTACTGCCAGGACCCCTCCCCTGAGGGCTGGGGGACCTTCTGAACCCCACTGATGGGCTTCAGGGGACCTCAGGATCTGGGGTGCTGAGTTTTGGGGGTCTCTGGGGTTCGGGGGGGGAATCAGGACCCGCTTTCCCTGCGGTCGGTCCGCCAAGCCGGCAGGGGGCGCTGTGGCACGAGCGGCAATGGCGGTGCCGCGCGGAGCTTTATGGGAGTTGAAGTTCCCTCGTTGAGAACTCCGCCGGCGCCTGCGCAGTGCAGCCAT